TTGTTGATTAGAATACATGTTAATGGTATTTGAAATTTGTTTTTGTTGATAAATTGCAGAGCACATGGATAATGCTACAGATCTTTTATGCACATGTGGTGCTGGCCACATGAGGGTTTTCAGAGGTCGTATAATGAGAAAGGATGGTCGTTATTTTTATAGGTGTCTATTTGATAGGGACCATAGGAATGCATTTATTTGGGTTGATGAATACCAACACTTTCTGCATCCAGTTGTCAATCGTAAAGGTTGACTCATTTGTGTATGTTGTGGGTTTAATGTCATTTTATGTTTTGTCGTGTTGTTTTTAATTGTGAACAATATGGTGGAGAAGTGATTACCTCTCTCATTGTAATATAATATGCAGCTTGTATGTATGAACAATGGTCTGTATTATGTTATAATTTGTAATATAATGTTCTGCTAGTGAAACATTCAATACAAACATCATCTCTGTTTTCAATATTTTCTGCCTTACAGTCTAAACATGTTTTTTGTTTTTTGTTTTGTAAAACAGTTTTTGGAATTATATAACCAAACAAATTCTGCAACACGAAAAATACTAAAACCAATTTTTGAAAATTTGTCTTAGAAAACAGTTTTCAAATACTATTTTTTGAGACGCAAATCAAACACGCCCCGAAACTTTAGCACTTTCCTCCAAAATATTTGGAGTTATGAATTGGTGGAAGAATTCAAGAATCTCACATTGAATCTTGGGGTTCTTTTTGAATTTATCTTTTCTTATAAATAGAAGAAGAACTTCATTCACTAATTGAAGGTCTCAAGAAATCCTTTTAAAGATAAGGCCTACATAGGGAGGTGACGTTGGAATGTAAACCACGTTTGAATATAACTTGCTCTTAGTAACTTGGTAAAAAACTCAAAAAGTTTTACAATCGAGATATTGAGAGTTGGGTCTGTTCAAATGTGAAAAGTCCATTTAAACATGATAGTTAAAATTTTAATTTTCGTTTGAGTTTTCTCTTTAACGGCTATATTGTTACAACTCTTCCAAGAGGTGTTTCCTTCCATTGTATTAAAGAGTTGTACACCTTCATTAAGTGATGCATAGAACACTATAACCTCGTGTTGCACCCCTAAAAAATTTTAAAAAATTAAAAAAAAAAAAAAAAAAAGAACACTATAAATAAAGTTCAAATGCAGTAACAAAGTATAGTGAGAAATTACACTTCTTCCTCTCTTTTATTCTAAAACTTCAATTCTTTTTGATTTTCTATATTCGGATTGAGTTTTTGGTACCAAAATTACTAAGTAGTGTTATCTTTAATAATCTTAAAGTTAGTCATTGTATCTTGGGGGGTAGAATTTTCAAGAGTCCATATGCATTATAAGTAAAAAAAAATTATTTCGAAGATAACGAGTGTTGAGTTTTTCCTAGCAATCTATCTTCTTTGTCTTCATTTATTGTCTTTCTATTTCTGAAATTATTTACCACACATTATTCTACAACAATTAATTCCTGCATAAGCTTAAAATTAGGTTCATATACAATTGCTCATAGTTTACATGCCCTATAGTTTGGCCCAGAAGCATAAACCTAGGATACTTTCCACATCTCAGTTTGCAGCTACTGATGATTTCTCCATTCGACCATCTTCAACCTTCCACCTTTCGTCTCCTCCAAAAAATATAAATATCATTTTAAGTTAATTGTGACATTATAAGTTTTTATTATCTCGTTTTCCATAGCTAGTGCACCAAACTCTTAATGATACAAGAGTGTAAGAGGGGCAAAGGATATACAGGTTTACACCCTTTTTAAGTGTGTCATTTCCGAATTCAAATCCGTGACATATTACTTAGGTTAATTTTACATTTGCTATCTATATGCATATATAATTAATTATTGCCCATGTTTATTTAAGTATTTTAATGCAACAGTTAATATAAGCAAAGTATATTGACAAAATACAAGAATGCTTTGAGAAAATAGTTTGTTTTGACACAATTTATTTGGAAGCTATTTCCAATACAAGAATCTTTACAATAAAATATATTGGAAATAACTTTAATGAGAATCGTGCATTCAAGATTCAACTATGATTTAGAATTGTCAGAATAATGGTCGAGGACGATTGTGTTATACTCAATTCAAGCTCAATTTTAAATGATCCAAAACAATTTAATGTAATATTTGATAAAGCTATATAAGTAAATTTTTTAAGTAATCATAGTTTCATAAAATAAAAATATATTTAATTACTATATATAAAAATAATTTATATGCATATTAGTATATTAGTAATTGTTCGTGCTTGAAGGCATGACATAACAAAAAATTTATCATACTTATAGTAAAAATTCAACCAACCAGCCAAATCAAAACTATCAACAACCATATTACAATAAGTTCCACCAACCAAATTATGAGTTTATGTAGGGATTGAGATATAATCTAATCTATACGACTATAAGTTCTAGCAGATTAATATTGACCCATTATTTTTTAAAAAAAAAATTGACATAATTTTTCTAAAGACATGACCCCGAAAAATATCGACTTGTATGCAATACATTTTATATAATAAAATTAGCAACTTATATCATATTACAGGACTCAAAAAAATATGCATAATTAAGTTGAGCAAGTAAACAAAAAATCATTAGACAAAAAAAAAACTGTATTTTGTGTAATATTTGATTTAATGTAACATTTTTTTAAAAAAAGAGATGGAGGCAAAGGAGACTATCCAGAGACCATCCTGATGGGGCCTCACTGGTGGGATCATGAGGCTCCTAACCGTGCATTTTACTCCTCTTAGAAACGAACCTAACTAAGTTAATATAACAGTCAACCTCCGAGCCTCAATGTGAACTCCAAGACTCGGACCTCCAAGCCTCATTGTAAGAACTAAAAAGTTCGGCCAATACCCCACTAGACTACCTCACTTGATCGTATTTAATGTAACATTTGATAAAGCTATTTAAATAACTTTTTTAAGTAATAATAATTTCATCAAAAATAAAATTATATTTAATTACTATATATAGAAGTAATTCAGATGCATATTAGTAGTATACTAAAAAAATGGTAAACAATAAACATATTTGTATTCATATACAAAATCAAATCACAAACATAGAGAATAGATAAAAAAATTTAAGCTCATCGGTTTGTAGTAGAGGTGAGAGGTAGTGGGCGGCAGTGGTGGTGGTAGGAGACAATAATGGTTGTGGTGGGTGGCAATAACCGTGGTGACAGTGATGGTAGCGACGGTGGTGGCGGTGGTGGTGAGATGGTGATGGTGACGATGGCGGTGGTGGCGACGGTGGTGATGGTGGTGGTGACGATGACAGTGGAGGCGGCGGTGGTGACGACAGTGGTGGTGGTGGCAGCGATGACGATGGTGGTCACGACGGTGGTTGTGGTAGGGGCGACGGTGACGGTGAGGGTGGTGGTGGCAGTGGGGGTGGGGTGGTGGTGATAGCGACCACGACGGCAACGACAACGGTGGTGGTGACGAGAGTGGCGACGGAGGCAGTGGTAGTGGTGGTGGTGGTGATGGCGGTTGCGACAGCGACGGTGGGGGTGGGGGTGACGGTAGCGGTAGTGGTGATGGCGGCGTTGATGGTGGTAGAGGTAGTGGTGGAACGGTTTCAAACGCTATTCTTTTTTAAAGTATTTATGATAAATAATTTATAAAAGTACTGTTAAAAAGTTACTTCAAACACACACTTAGGGACCTATTTTTTCTATTAAATTTAAGGCGTTAATATTAACCGTTAGATTAACTTTAAAGTAAAATTTAAAGCAATCTCAACTGTGAATAACAAAAGTCATTTTGTTTATATTTTGAGATTTGAATTGTAAGCTATTTTATTATTTAGATATAATTGATGCACACATTTTTTATTTAGACTCAACTCCCACCTAAGCAGCAACGTATGCCACAGATACAAGCGTTAAAAGAATGGTGTAAGTCCGAATAAATAAAAATAACGACAAGAATCTCAAAATTAATGCTATTATAAAGTATATTTAAAAAAAAAAAAAAAGGTAAGAAAAAATGCAAACAAACAAAACCATAAGGTAGTTAAGATTTTCTCCGACCCATTCTCCATTTCCTCTCTTTTAGCTGTTTTAGCTAGTCAAACACAAAAAACACTTTTTAACCCACTCTCTACTTCTCATTTCACCCAAATAGCTCTCTAAATATAGAGAGTCATTAGCCTCTTTAAATTCTCTCTTTACTCTTCTCTCTCTCTCTCTCTCTCTATATATATATTGTATTTTCTTTAAATTATTAGAAGTTAATGAATGTTGAGTGAAATAATTAGCTAAAATAGAGAATGTAATATTTAAATATATTTTGACTAACTATTTTAGAAAATTGGGTTAGAGATTCTCTAAGTATGGAGTAAATATTCAATATAGTCGTTATATCAAGTCACATCACCATGTGGTTTTGATCATTAATAAACATACAAGTAGAATAAGTGAACTCCAATAATCGTATAAAATAGTTTCAATCCACTAATCCTACATAATTATTTATAATTGATTAATTACAGCACGTGAAGATAGGGTTGATGATCAAATCGAATTATTCGAGTTCGGTTTGAATTCGACTCGTTTAGGGCACGAGTTCGACAGACTCAACTCAAATTTGACAAACCTAACTTCTTTATATGTACATACTTAAACTCGATTTGAATTCGACTCATTTTAGACTTGTTTAGACTTAACTAATTTTGTAAAAGATTTGAATTGAAATAATTTTTTTAGGGCTTAGATAATTGTCAAAAAGAATTAAATTTAAATAATTTATTTAGTGCTCACCAAATTCGACTTAAGTTTATTCGAATTCGTTCCATTACCAATTTAAGTGATTATAACGACGTAATATATCCGTAATATTAAATATTATCTGGTCAATAATTATGGGTTGAGGATCACCCACCTAAGTCCATCGACTACTTCTGGAAGCCAATGAGCCCACTTTTCTAATGCCTTTCACAGACTCCGGACCTGTTTTCGAACCAACCACCCAACCGACTAACTGACTTTAATCTGATGTGCGGCCGACACCACATCAAACTCTCCCCAGGCTCGTTCGCCTACCCAATCAAACAAGCTCTTAGACTCACATCGGTCACTACTCAATATATCGCTACTTGTAAAACCCACGTGTCTTTGACCCGCCTAGGACTTACAGAACCTTCGAATTCCAAGCCCTAATCTCTCTCTCTCTCTCTCCCCCCGAATAATCTAAGCTCGATCACACAGTGATCAAAGAATTGCAGTCAAAATGTTGAAGCCCAAGTCAATTCGATCAAATACTTCATTGAATCTGGTTAGTTTTAGTTTTACCTGTAGTGTCTGTTTTTGTTGCTAAATTTGCTCTATGGCTTTGTATTTTCTCATTAAAGGGTTTCATGTAGAAGTTGAATTTTCTCTTCCGATGTGATTTATAGTTTTGCTTCTGTGATTTTTTTACTATTTCTTTTACCGAATTGGAGTTCGCAATTGATAATTTTGTGCATATACATATGAAAGTTCTGCTTGAATTTTAGTGTTTAATTGACACAATGAATGATTAACCTGTGAATAAAGTGATGAGAATTTGATTTGAGCTTAATCAAAGAATGGGTTTTGTTCATTATGTTACAGAATTCAATAATCCAGTCTATCTCAGCGACCGTTGTTGGCTTTTCTCACTGAGATTGACTTGACGATAGAAACAAAAAACAGCTATGGACTAGGGTTTGTGGATTTTGGCATTGAGGAGTTGGGGTATGTATTGTTTGAAGTTCATAGGTTATCTTGTGGTTCGTTGATAATTTTGATTTTGGTGGCCGTAATGAATTCGGGAATCAAAATGCCGGTCCGGCGGCATTCTTCCCGAATAGACACTCTTGAGCTGAAACTTCGAATTGAAAAGAAGCTTGGTCGAGAAAAGGCGGAAAAATACTTCAATCTACTTGGCAGATATTTAAGTCTTAAGCTTTGCAAATCAGAGTTTGATAAGCTCTGCATTGGTTTAGTGGGTAGGGAGAATATCTGCCTTCATAATGGACTTGTCCGAGCAATCATCAAGAATGCCTGCCTTGCCAAGACTTCTCCTCCAAAGCAGAGCAAAATGGAAGCTTTGTTGAATGTTAAAATGCCAAATGGATATCAAATAAGTAGTCTTCAATCAGTCTGCAGGGATGTTTTACCCCAGTCCCCTAGAAAAGGAAGGACTCCTAATCTTCGAGAGCGAAAACTTAGGGACCATCCAAGTCCTCTTGGGCCTTATGGGAAGACACAGAGTGTTGCATGCGAAGTTTTGTTACCAAAAGTTCAAGCACAGCAAAGTGCCACTGAGCTGCTTTCTTTAGGTAGCAGGCCCCTTGCTGAAGTTAGCTCTGTGGAAGAGGGTGAAGAGGTTGAGCAGGCAGCTGGAAGTCCTCGCATTTATGGTAGAATCCCAGTCACAGCTCCTCTTGGCATATCCATACACACAAAGGGAACACGGAAAGTACTACGTAGTGGATCAGCTCCTTCATTTAACATTGACACTTGTCATAACAATGGTGAGCTGCCTGATACCAGTTCTTTAAAGAAACGATTGGGACAAAAGTTGGAGATGGAGGGTTTGGAAATCTCATTGGATTGTGTCAACCTGTTGAACAGTGGGCTGGATATATTTATGAAAAGACTGATGAAGCCCTGTTTGGAATTTGCCAGTTCAAGGTCTGAGCACAAGCACCTAAACCAAATTTGTTTTCAGGCTCCATCTGGCTGTAATGGGATCAGGCCCAAAGCATATGTGCCAAATCCAAACAAATCCTTTTCCGCATCATTGTTGGATTTTCGGGTTACAATGGAGTCAAATCCCAGAATACTTGGGGAAGATTGGCCAGTACAACTTGAGAAGGTTTTCTTGCGTGCATCAGAGGAATCTATTCGAATTGATTAACTAATAAGTTGGGTGTGACAGTGGGTTTAACCTTTAAGCCATCTCAAGTTATGATAAAAAAGCCAAGTTCACACCATTATGCCAGCAGTGCTGAAGTATCTACGTGGTTACAAGCTACAGAAAATTTTGGATGAAGGAGATTAGGTTGTATATACTTTTCAATGCTGATTGTTCCTGAAATGGGACCCGTGACATGGTAAAGCATAAAGACATGGACAATTGTAAGAATCTAGCCATTACAAATAGTTTAGTGGCCTTGTTCAACTAATATCTATAGGTTGTTTTATGTTATTGAATTTTTATTTGTTAATAAATTGCATCTTGGAGTTTCCAGACCTATACTTATGAATTTGTCATTCATTTTATGGTATTCTCTCCACCAGTGGGCTAGAATTAACTGATTATTTTTGAATGCTTGACTTATATAGAACATTAGGCTGAGCTAAATCAATTGAGTGATTTTTGACAGTTTTTGTTAAGATGCTCTTCTTTTCCTTTTTTACTCTCCCATTTGGTTTTTCCAAATGGTTCAGTTACTTATTTGGCTCCAGTTCTATCTTATGAGAATCAGCATGACCATTATAACATCTTGTACTTGAAATGATATTAGGTTCCTGCTAAGTACCGTTGTAGATATTATTTTGGTGGTTGAATATGAGGCGGAAGTTTAAATCATGAATACTTTTCAAGAATCAGGTAAATACTTGGCAGGTTTCTTTCTCTAGAAAACAAATTGACATCAAAGTAATGGCACACAAGTGCGAACAGAAAGTAGAGAATAAGAGGTGGAAAATGACTATCGTTAACCACTGAATTTTCAACAACTTATAGGACTTAAAGTATCATAATTATTGTTTTGATAGGATTAGTTATAAATTTTTTTGTGATTTTGGTATTCCTGTGTTGTTGAATTTTTTTTCTTCTTTTTCTTTCTGGTATTCCAACTGCTCTGGCCTCAATCTTCTCTGCAGAATTATTTCTCCTTCCCTTCCTTCTCCCCACCCCAAAATGAAGATCCTCCTTTATTCTGATGCTAAGAACTGTGGTAGAAGATACATGATAGCTTAAGCTTCTTGATAGTTATCAGTTATTCTACTCGATAAAGTTTTAACCTCAACTGCCTGAGGATGACCTTCATTAGTCATTGTATAACGAGGATATATTCTGAGTGATATTTGCAATCATATGGCTATGAAATCATATTCTTCTTCTTTTGCAAAGCACATTATGCAGAGAACAGCATTTACGAAAAACCTAAAAAGCACTAGTCTTTTGCAGATAAAATTCGAAACAAGATATGCCTTTTTGTTATTTTTCACTGCTATCTGTGGATTGGGGACTTTGTTGATCCACTAATTAATGGAAATTCATTATCTTTACATTTCATTTTTGGTTTTATTTTTGTTTTTGTTTTTGTTTTTTTTTGGCAGGGGAGTATGGGACCTATGGGTGGTTATGTTGAATGTGGAATTTAGACTTTTATATTCACACTTCCTCTATTGTTGCGCACTGGTGCTGAAAATTTCTGTGCAAGTAACAAAGAGATCATTGCTATTCTTCGTGTTTATTGCAGAGTATAAGAATACTAGTTTTTATGGCCCCTTCTATTAGGTGTGTATTATGGCAAATTTGTGCAATTGGGTGCACGATTATGTTTCCTCTCAATATCCAAACGTCAAATGAGTTATTTTGGATGTGTAGTCAACTAATATTGAAAGAGGTCAAACCTAGATTGATGGCAAGTGATCATCCGCTAGGGCTAAGCCTGCCTGCCACTTACCTCTCTAGACCTTGCAATATGTAGGAGCTTTATGAATTGTTTTGACATTTTTTTGTTGCTACTTTGGTTGTGACCTTTTTTTCGTCAACTAATACAGGACATTTATGAAGTTAGTGGATGACACTGCATATGTTTCTACCCAAAAGATTTTTTTATTTTTTTTCTCTTTTTTACAACAAGAAACCCCATATAGTGTAGGTCCCATTGTGGAAAAATTTTAAAGAGGACAAAAGAGAAGAAATGATTCTCTACATTGACTCCAGTCATCTAAATTATGAGATTAAGGGGTAGGTATGGCTGCATTCATCACAACTACCTAAGGAGTAATCTGAAGCTTGATATCAGATAGAGAGACGAATAGCAAAATACAATATTTTTTTCTTCTGCTGGATCAAAGCTTACTCAAGTGAGTTATAATAGGCAGGCATACAATCTTTATAGTTGGTTTGATTTAGCATTTGAAAATGAATAAATTTTCTGAAACAATTTTGTAGTGTCAATGTTCACCATCCTGTGTGGTTACATGTAAAGGTGCTGTGGCTTTCCCTACATGCATGCTATGGCATGCTGCCTCAACACCTTCAATCGTCATCTCTATGCTTGTGGGACAGATTCTGTGTGGTACAGTGCTAACTTCACCATTAGCTTGCTCATTTGCTTTTAACAGAGAAGCAATGTGTTTGGCAGGAAGCAACAACATCTGAATTCTTCATGCTAAAATCAAGGAAGTAAGTTTTCCTCTTTAAACACAATTAGCCTGCACAACAGATCACTAAAGGGAATGTGCTGGTGAGTATCTATGATGCGGATTTTCTAGTGAAGAGACGAGGAAAAATGGCAATCCTTAAGAAAAGCACCATAATGGTCTGTCATACTGGAATTTTGTAATGTAATCTCGTCTTGGGTTTCCTGATTAGATGTGAAAATTGTAGTTCAAATTAATAGACATATTGTACCATTAATGTGTGGTTACATTATAACAATTTGTTATCATTTTGGTGTGTTAGGCAATGGTTTGAATGGCAGGAAGCAAGAATAAAATGGTGTGGTCCTCCTGAAGCAAGAAGAAAATGTGCTCCTCCTGAGCGAAGAACAGCAATTCTTCAAAGAGAAACCTCTTGACTAAGGTTTCCTCAACACCCTTTTTGCCCATTCATGGAGTTTCACTCGCTATTCGATGTCATCTTTCAATTGATGTGGATGCACTCCTTGGAATTTGCAATTCCAAACGTGAAGATATCTGTCTTCCCCTTCTCCTGCAGTGCGATTTAATATGACTATGTCCTCCTGAATCAGCGACTGAAACTTGATAATTTTCACCCAAATAGCCAGTTATGTGATAATTGATGCTAGCTTTTTTTTCGTATATGTTGTGGGTTATTTGTTTGTTTTTTCTAGCTTCACTGTGTGACACTCTGACTGCCTAATGGTCCTGAAATTGACAAAAATAAGATTAAAGGGTACTAATATCGAGGTTTCTAGGTCATTGAGCTGTTTTGCTTAACATCTTCCTGCCATATAAGTAGTACTATTTCTCTTACAGAGACATAAAATCACTTCGCAAAAGATGTTTTGATGGCCATAAACAGTCCCCTCACAGTTGAACTGAAAGAATAGCCACTTAATCAAACTGCTTCTAATATATTGGGGCATGCATTTTGCGGGTCCTGATATGGTTTGTCACTTCTGCAATTTGATAGTGTGATGCTTTCTATGACAGGAAATAACCAGGTGATAGTCTTATTTTGAACCTTGTTGCTTTATGTTGGTCCTCTTCAAACCACAAATCCAATGTTGCCTTGCCAGAGAGGTTACATTGGAGAAGATATTGCATTCACTCCTAGTTGGAGGCGGCTTTCAAATGATATCTATACTACTGCTCATCTTCTTCTTGTTTATGACTTATGAGTTATGCCTACCTGCCACTCGTAAGCTTTATTTGGACCAGAGCTGAGGTCACTGCAGTTGTCAAATTTTAACTAATGGAGATCGAATAAACTGTTGTTTTCGCTCACTGTTTGCTTGTTCAATTCCCCACCCTCTTTTTGTCTCTATATATATAGGTAAAGAAAGATCGATGATGAAAAATGATTGGGAACGTACGTAACATTTTGAAATAGACTAGACTCATTTTGAACCTCTTGGGAAATTACTTCAAATGGTTCATTGATCAGGCAAATGTTAATGACCATGAACTTTCGTTGGTCTCGGACTACAAAGCCAGCAAATGTGCAATTTCGACCTATTGCAGCTGACATGTCATTACATTCTTAAGTTTACCTTTTGATTCAGATTTCCTGCCAGATTTCCTGCCGAAGTTTGCTGATTGCATTTGGTAAGCTATTGCTGTCTCCAAATCAGATTTTCTGATATCTGGCAACAGCTACATCTGAGTAGGTGCTGTGCAGCTTCCAATTATCTGAAACCTACCATATCCAAATCAGATTATCGGAGTGGATGCTGTTTTATTTGAGTATTGTATGTATTTGTTTGATAGATGTATTGTGAATGAATTAAACATTAAATTATAAATTTTTTATTTAATCGGGTCTAAATCAAATTTTCGGTGTGTATGTCCTCTCTCTCTCTCTCCCCCTCCCCCCACGCCTGACTCTTTTCCTTCCTCCCTCTTTTGACACGTGATAGGGGCACTTGAACAACTGGAGGAGGTGGAAAAGGCTAACGGTGCGTATCATCTAATATCTAGGGTGGGGTTACTTTTCTAGATTTCTTATAACTGTGGGCCCTCAACGAAGAATGTTGGGTTTGCGTTCATTTTAGGTACCTAAGGATGACTTTGGACCGGTTTTCATTCGTTCATGTGAAACCTTATGGTCTTTATCATCTTGGTACAATGTACATAATTGGTGGCCCCACCTATAGCGTAGCTGGAGAAAATTAGTTGAAATGATTGACCTATAGGAGGAGGAGTAGATTAAGGTATTCTGCTTCTGCGTCCAAACAAGTGCTGATGACATAAGACAAGTCTTGTTAGTGGGCTGCTTGTTTTTTATTTTTCTTTCTGGTGAATTATGTAAGGAGGGGAACAACTTGGCTTCAGCCTACGATTTTAAAGTTTAATAGTAGATTGTCATTTGATTAACCACTAATCAATTCAAGCCGACACGTGATCATTGAATTCAAATGAAAAGTTAATTTTTTTTAATACTAGTCAGTGTAATGTATATATTTTATATACATATCTTTAATACTATCAATATAATAAAGTATAATACATTTTAAATCTCAAAAGAAAAACAAAATGATTTTTTCTATTCGCGGTTAAGATCGTTTTAAATTTTATTTTAAAATTAATTTAATAATTAATATTAACACCCTAAATTTAATAGAAAAAAAATAAGCTCCTAAATGTATGTTTGAAGTGATTTTTTAAAAGTACTTATAACACTTATGACTTCTCATAAATACTTTAAAAAAAAATAACTGTCTCACCATCACCATAAGTACCCCCCACCACACCACCAACACTATCGTTGTCGCCACCACACCATCACCTCTGCCACAACAACCACCACCACTGTCGTCACCCCTACCACTACCATCTTGTCCACAACTACCACCGTTGTTGTCACCTTACAATCATTACCATTGTCCCACCATCACCCATTATCCCCCCCCCCCCACCACCACCATCACCATTGCCACCCAAAGCTGTCACCATCAAAGTTGATCGTTGTCATCCATCACAAATCATTACCATTTGCCACCACCACCACTAGTGCCTTATTACAAATGGGGTTTAAATTCTTTTTTCTCTCCTCTATTTTTGTAATTTAATTTTGAGTGTGAATATAAATATATTTATTATTAATTATTTTTTTTATTATTCTATACTTTCAGACACAAAAAATAACTAATAAATCTATAAATCAAGTGCGTAATAAATTTACAATCAAAATAACATAAAAACAACATGAGATGATACAATTGGGTTTTATAATTTTGATTAAGAATGACATTGATGATCAAAAAAAAAAATCAATTAACTTCCATAAGAAACGTAGATGTATTTAGCTTAAAGCTTTCTTTAGTTTCCATAGCATTTAGCTTAATTGAATACCCCACAATCTTGTCGAATATTCCCATTTCCTCCCGTCTTAATTCCGATCCGACCCATTTTGGTAATGGCTCGGACAAATGCTGCCAGGAAGGCCGGGGAGTTTCCAGCCCAGGTATCTACTGTGGACTTGGACCTCGGGTCGGTGAAGAGGACTTGATCCGAGGTGAGTAAACCTTTGCCTTGCTGGAGATTCTGGAAGTACACGTTATCAAATGTATTAGGAGTGTTTGGATCGAAGCCGACGGCGGTCCTTGGGTCCACATTTGTGGGGCACATTGTTTGCAACTGGGCAGCGTAGTCCCGGTTCAGCGTAGGGTCCACTGGGTTTTGACGGCTGAAATTGTATATCCTGTTTGAAAACTTGTCGCAGTGAGAGAATCCAACGGTGTGGGCAGCTGCAAATGAGATTGCACACGGTAATGTGGTGCAACATACAAGAATAATTCTTGTGCTTCAGTCATATTATACAAAAATATATAATTACAACTAGAACCCTTATAGTTAGGATCAATTTCACTGTTAACCTATTTTGTCAGTTGATGGCAATAACAGAGGTGGTGAATTTTCAATTCTACACAATAAAGCACCTTAAACTACGATCTTTGTTTTTTTAAGCTCTTAACAAGTTTTTTTTTGGTCTAAATTTTTCGTTAGAATTTTAGTATTGTTTCAATGTAAGCCTATCAAAGGATCGAAGTTGACTCGGTCTTTTATTGATCCGAATCCGATTTTTAAAATTTGATACAATAAACCAACAGATTTTATTTTCTTGATTAATATTTAAATTCGTTAACAATTCAAATCTGATTCAATTACTTAATTAACTAAATTTTAATAAATTATACTTAAATTTCAACTATTTTTTTTAAATAGTCAATTATTTTTTTATATATATATATATATAATATTTCAGATCAAATATTTTTTTTTCTCATGTCGGCCAACCATGGTAGTATCTATTGCTGACTTGACTGTGTACCATGTGATGGACTAAATATTCAATATTTCATGATATCATGTTATCGATAATACGAAGGATTACTAATTAATAATAACACATGGTAGTTATTAAAGATTATTAAAATAGTAAAATTTATTGTACATTATATATTATTATTGATTAATGACACTACGGATCACCAATAACACGATACCACGAATGCATCGTATGTTTTCAACATGCGATGGTGATGTGCAACAAGAGACTTTCTATAAGCAACAAATGCTCAATCTTAATCCATTTGTAATCTGGGAAATGCAAGCTGGCTTGACTGGTCTTTAACTAAACTACAATGGCAACAGAAACCCATAGTCTGTCAGCTGGGGGACCCACAAAGCCATACTGAAAGTGATTGATAAGTGGTGTTTACCTGAAAGAGCAATCATGTCCGTCTGAGTTAGGCCATTGGCACCGAACAAGGCATTGAGCTGGTCCAAATTGAAGGTTGCTTGAGGCAGCTTCCCATTAACACTTGATGCTGTTGAGCTCAAGCCATCCAGTCTTCCCAATTCCACAGCATATGATGGTCCACCAGACTGCTTTGCATAGAATATCATCACACTTGGCCATGGATGGATGGTGCATTAATAAAACCATTCATTGTTGTGTGCTGTGTTTCTCAAACTTGTAATATGATTCTGATTGATCCATTTAATATTCGTGTTGATCAAGTCATATTATATTTTGAATTCGTATCGAGAACATATTAATTTCAATTCATTAATTTTTTATTTACTTTGTTTTTCACCCAAAAAACTAACAAAAGCAGCATGCTCATAAATAGCATTATACCATCTCCCATGGAGATTCATACCCTTATCCAAATTTGAGAAAAAAAAAAAAAAGAGGATAAAAAATTTCATTTAGTATAAACTTTTCCAATGGAAAAACTCTAATTTAAAATAAGAGAAACTCAAATTTAAATAAAGACAAATTCAAAATTAAAAAAAGATAAAATATGACCATTGGATCTTTAAAAATAGATGAAATCTCACAATTAAATATTTAGGTATGAATTTGAATCTCCTTTAATTTGAGAAAAAAATTAAAAAAAAAAAAATCTTTCTTGATTCAATATGGGTATGGGTCTAACATTAGAAAAAAAAATTAATTTTTTTTTATTCAATTTCAAATTTAAAAAAAAAAAAAAAAGAGATGCTCTTATTCATTAGTGAATTGTGTACAGTTTTCTCAATAGCCATTAACTTCTCATACCCGTATTGCAACCTATCATAAAGAATGTACAAACCATTGCAATGACATCTCTGGTGGCCATGGCAAGAATATCAGCACAGGAGACCTTATTCCGGCAACTCGGATTTGCATCAACCGCTGCTTTAGCTTTGATCACGGTGTCAAATCCATCTCCGGCCAGTGACAGATTGTCTGGGTGGTCCTTCTCAGCTGTGTTTGTTCCAGAAGATGCAATTATAACCGAAGCGTCACAACCCTATATTTCCAAACACAAAAACAACAAGCTTCTCATTAATGTCAACTCTACTATTGCCTCACGTGTTTGATTGTTATTACCTGGACAAAGCAGTCGTGGAAGAAGAGACGGATAGTTGCAGGAACTGTAACAAACGTTTGCTGAATTTTTTGGGCTACGGCATTTCTAACAATGGTTTCGACGTTTGGGCAGACATTGGCGTAGTAGTTCTGTCTCAGTTGTGCTGATGCGAAGAAGGGAAAGACACAAACACTCAACAATAGTGACAACACAGCTATTAGAGAATTGAATCGATCCATCGAATGGTTCAGAATTTGGTGTGGTTTTGCAGAGTTTGATATGGGTCACTTTGTAATGTTGAGGAAAACGAATATATAGAAGTAGTTTTGAGAAGCCAGTTGGCCGGCTAGCTAGCTTGATAGCATTTCAAGCATTATGAAAGTTTACTGTTAATAATTAACTTTGAAATTTTGATAGAGACATCGGTGTTTAGTGTGTGACTCTATTTACTGAGTCTATGGCCGCTTTTGTTTTTTATTTTGCCCCTCCCTCTTCTTCTTTGCCTAGAAGTATATGAATTAGTCGATTAGTACAATGAAAAATTAAAAAAATAAATAAAATATTATATTTTATATAAAAGATAAAAAAATTGATGGATAAATTTTTCTTCTAACTCACCAAAATCAATTCTCTAAAATTGAGAGGAATAAAAAAATATAAAAAATATTTTTTGTATCTTACCAAATATAAAAAAAATTAATCATTCTTACTTTTTATTTATATTTTTTTCTTGAAGGATATAAAGTGTATTATTCTCATTTTTTATCCTTTAATTTTTTCTTCCACCTTACCAAACAGAGCATAAGAGTTTAAATCTCACATCATACAAACTCTAAGAGTAACTAAAGTAATAACAAGTACGAATTGTAAATTTAGATGTCTTGAATATGAATATTGACAACTCTTTAGATTAAATTATGAGAGATTTATTTCCTCTAAAATAGAAACCGAGAGTCAAAAATGAAAAACAATAGAAGAAAGAAAGAGAGAGTCCAGGCAATATTGGGTACAACTAAAACGTAACAAAGTGTTTGTCAAGCTAAATCTGAAGTTTGCACAAACAACAGAATGAAATGGCAATTTTCTGCCACCTAATGGAAGTGTGTAATCCATGTGCACGTCACTCCTGACACTATAAGAAAATGGTGTGATTCCCTAAATTGTTTCCCCAAATTTATTTAACCTAGCCTCATCTTAACGCTCACGCTCCCTTGCCGATACCCTCTCTTAATGAATTTTCTTCTGAAAATCAAAAAATCATCACTCTCTCTCTCTCTCTAAATGCACCATCGTCTCTCTCAGATACTCTCTCTCTCTCACCCTGAATTTCTTTTGTCATAGTAGCTCTGGTGTTTTTAAGAGAATCGTCGGTTCTATCATCAAAGAAATCAAGGATTGAAATCGAGCCACCTCTCGTTGAGTACATCCCTCTCTTAGATCGTCGTCTGCCTCATTGCAATAGCTTGACTTCTCTCTCAGATCCATGTATGTGTTTAAGTGTTTTGGCATTTGGGATTGATTTTGAGCAGATCTAAATTCATTTTCTTGATTTTCTTTTTGTTGCAATTTTTATTGGTCATATTCTATCCCTAGCCTCCATTGCAGAGAACTCAGCCAAATCGAGCAATTCGACATGTGAAGCACTATTATATATATAGATGCATATCTATAAGTATAAATATGATGTTTTTTTAACTTCAAAATAGGGCAAACTGCTCGGCTATTCCTCCCTCTCTCTCTCTCAATTATACTTGCAATTTGGAGTGTGAGGCTGTTAAAGAGAGGGACTTTCTTCTTCTGTAACCTACTAGTATATTAGCATAACATTGTTTTTTGGCATATGTGATTGACTTACGCCAATGGCTGGCACGTGGCTGGGGGCATCATTCAGTCATAATCAATTTTAATGGACCGATGAACACCAGCTTGTTAGGCCAAGGCAATGAAAAACATGCCCATGGACTTACCCACAAAGTCGGCCCAGCTATTTATTTGATGGGCCGTGGACTTTTGCTCCCATCAGTTGAACACGAGCCTTTTTGCCGAGGCTGATTTAATACTATATTCCTAGATATACAAACTACCTATAATCTATCTATATCTATAATATAAAACGGATGAGACTTTGATAAGTTCATCCGATAGTTTCAAATAGAATCATTTAATAACCACTAATATTTTTCTCAATATCATTCACATTCTTTTTTTAAAATCATTCACATTACATCATACTTTCAAATACGGGTTATCCTAAATAAACTGATATGTCAACATTAGGCTGATGATTTTCCGAAATGCGGCAAACCTGAATCTGATAGATAATAGGGGGATGCATTGCTTGGTCTGTTGGTCATATGAAAATGGAGACAAGGACTCAATTATTGATATCTATCACTCTATTTTATTTTATTTTTGAGAAATAGGTAGAAATCAATTAATTGCGTGCTAGAAGAAAGCTTTGTACCATGACAAGCATATGTGACACAATCAGCATTACTCTCTCTCTCTCTCTCTCTCTCTCTCTCTCTCTCTCTCTCTCTCTCTCTCTCTCTCTCTCTCTCTTATTAGGTTGCAATTGATAAAGATGTTGGTGGATCCCATCACTAGATTTTTTTTTTTTTTTGTGATGGCCATGTCCTAACCTAAGTAGTCAAGTGGAAGCTTGTAGTTGGTGAAGCCATGAAAGCATCTTTTAATTTGTAAAAAGCAAGTATTGGCCCAGCAATCTAATTAGAAAAGTGCTGAGTCATAAAACACTCAATTTGACTCCATCCCAAAATTTTCAACTCCAGTACTACATATTCATAAATTCAGATTGAATTCAAATTAAGATAAATTCAAGTTGGGTCTCAAAAACTAGAGACCTAACTATTCAAATTTAAATTAGTTTGTTATGCTTTTATCTAAACCGAAACTAAATATTAGAAAATCCGCACGTATAGATTAGTGATGTAGAGTTAAAGTTGGGGTGAACCGTAATTTGATCGTCCTCATCATGGGTTCATCCTTATAATTTTTTTATACAAATTTAGGTTCAAAAATTCTTCTCAAATATGGAATATTTTAAATTGAATTCCAATTGACTACTGAAATTACACCTCCTACATGTAAGTACTTGGTTGATAGTTAATTTTGATTCTCATGCTTGTCATCTACACATAAATGAGAATTTTGCTATTAGATCCCTGCTCGGGAGGGCAGGGTGTAAAGTGTAATTTCCCTTAAATTGAAAATTAATTTGTCGTTGTAAATAATTTTGTAGGTTGGGTTGAGATCGAATGGACCACCCAACTGTCCCACCCTGAGGCTTAGACCTTTTTGAAAAAAATATTTACATTTGTGTCCCCCACCCTAAACTCTATATATACTTATATATACTATAAAAGAAAGAAAGAGCCAGTTTTTCTTACAAATACTAAACAATACCATATAACTTAAAACTGATTAGATTCGAGATCGCACCATTTGTTATGATTAATGCCAATATCCAAGATTAATTTATTCATGTTAATGAGTAGTTAGTCCCTGTCATTTGTCACATAACACTATACCCAAGATCATGCCTGCAAAAATAAATAAATAAATAAATAATCACAAAAACACATGGGCCTGAGCCCTAAAGAATAAAAGTCTTGACTAATATGGGTTCAATACAAGATGCAAATTAAAAAATAAATAACTGAACTCATGATCCAATGAACTGAAGAAAAACTTTATAAAATATATGTGGGTGGGTCTTATTGTCTACTCCATGATTGAAGGAGATATCGAACCTGTTTGGAGTTAGCTGAAAATCTTAAATTTTTTTTTTTTTTTTGGTTTGAAAGGAAAAGAAGTCTGATTCATTTAGACCCCGATTTATTAAGCGACTTTTTAATCAATTTTTTAGATAAAAACAATTTTTATCAGTATGAAGTAAAAACTGAAAAATAAGACTTATCAAAGGATTTTTAAGAAAAATTCGATTTTTTTAAAAACACTATATACAGTTTCAAAAGATTTTTTTAACTCTGACTACTTGTTTATTTCACTTTTGAAACTTATGTTTTTCATCAATTCTAAATGAACCTATTATGGGGAAAGCTACTGTATTGAGGAGGTGCGTGTTGAAATTTGATCCGAATTACTAAATTTAATTTGGGTGATTAATTTTTTTTATACATAGTCCATTTTTATTAGATAAAAGTAAAGACTTCAATATTAAAACAGACACGTAGAGAAGGATAAAAGAAGATGCACATGGAGAGAAGGCAGCGAAAAGGAAAGTGGCAATGGTGCTCATGAAAAATAAATAGGATATGATGGTATTTTGGCAGGACTTTCTTCCTCTAAGTGATGTAAGATATGGTTGTGGATTACTGGATTGGGACATGATCTAATCAGAGAAGTGTGTTATAGGTTTGAATACAAACAAAATATAAGATAAGTGATAATGCAAATAAGCACCCAAAAAACAAAAAAAACAAAAAAAAAAATGTACTTGATGGTTTCATGGAAGCCCAACATATTCCATTCCCAACTCCATTGCTGCAGGAAAAAATTTAGTAGCAATGATCTGCAACTGCAAGATTTTGATTCTATGACTGAAGGGATAAGATGGTAGGTTTGAGAAATATAATTGTCTAAACAAGACTTATTTATTAAATAAAATTTTAAAATTAAGTTCGAACTCAGTTTATTTATGGAATTCTATCTGATTTGATCCTAATAGATTCATGAACAACTCGATTCCTTTGTTGCCTTAGTAAAATTATAGAATTTGTTGCAGGGTTTCGTTGGTTACAACTTTTATAGTCTAAATATGTCTACGGTATCACAAAAAAAAAAAAAAAAAGATTTATGGTCTTCTGGACTCGCTCATTTTCCAAGGTACAGTGGACACCAACATGGCTAAGTTCAAATTTTCTATTGTGATGTTTAGATGTTATGGGAACAATAGTGAGCAAAGGGGCTGATACCTCAGTGCCTCGGTCTGTTCTGTTCAAACAGATATTTTTGAAGATGCCTTTCATATGATTTCAGTTTCTTTATAAGGATGGTGGGACCAAGAAACAGTGCAACCCGTGGCTCAGCCTTTTAGCGAACCCAAAAGGACCCACTGCCCCATTCTGATGCACCGCCCACGCGTGCTCGCATGTCACCTCTCTCTCTCTCTCTCTCTCTCTCTCTGTCTTTATTCTATCCAAATGTTTGTCTCTGATTACGGTGGTACACATATACTAGCAATACTGGACGTATATTATACATAAATAAATTTACATAATAATATTTTTATAAAAAATTAAATTATATATATGAGCAAATTAAATAATAAATTAGGTGTCAAATAATTAATTTTTATTTTAATTATTATTAAATTTAGTTATTAATTTATTCTATAAATTTTTAAGTATTTAATCTATCATTTATTTAGGTATCTCTCCGACTTATTTAGGCATTTTTATTATTATACTATTGCATACTAAAAATTAAAATATAACATATATTTGACCGATCAATTTTTAATTATTATTAAATATATAATAATTTAAATATATATATATGTATATATATATATATATATATATATATATAATATATATATAGGATTTAGGATTTTAGTTCTTTATATAGATATAAATCGATAATTGTATGTAAATGTGTTACTAATAAATGAATTCAAAATAATATAAAAGTCTTTATAAAAGAGTTCAATGCATGTTGAAAATCAAATAAATGAAAAAGAAAGATTAAATGTGATGATACACAAAAGTGGATTTATGCACCACCTATCGAGTAATTAATATAGATAATGAATGCAGTAAATATAAAGGTGAGATTCACACAAACAATACAGATATAGAGTGATTCGGTCAAGGTGACTTACTTCACTTTGAAAATGGCAACGGTGGTCGTGGTCTTTGTTGATGAAGTATTAGATGAGAGAGAGAGTAAGTGTATGCTCTTGGTAGCTATGAGAAAGATAATTGTGTAAAATGTGTAAAAAGATGTCCCTATCATGTGGAAAAGACTTATAATTTATAGACACAGAGTCTTGGTTGAGATGGCGGCGTGAAAGGATAGGTGAGTAGTTTAAGTACAATTAGAGATAGTTCTGATTTTAAAGAGTGGCTATCCCGATGACTGCTCCCTAATGCGCTAATCTTTTTAAATTCCTTGAACTTTTGACTAAGCCGAATCCATGAATTGGACTTGCCCGGCCTTTTAGCTAATTTGGACTTACTTAATTAATTAGGTGTGACCCAGTAAAATCTGGGTTCATCAAGATGAAAGTATATAGGTGAGTATAATTGATTTTATTATCATAATTAAGAAAAAAATAAAAAAATTAATTTTTTTATAAATATTGAAATTTATAAATAATATAAATATAAATATATATACACACACATTTTGGTCCACAAAGATAAGTCAGTTTTATACATCCATGCATGCATGCTTGCATGTGACCATGCTTGTAGTTAATTATGAGCAGACATGGATTTCATTTTCCTTGTACTTTGTCTCATGTTTTTTTTTTTTTCCAATTGTTTTCTCATTTTATTCAATTGTATGTTACCAAATCCATCTCTCTTCCTTATTCCTGATGTATGATCGTGGATCTTCCACTTCCTACCTTTCTCCACTCATAAAACATAACAAAGACAAACCAACTTAACTCCTCCCCATAACAAATGAAAGTCTATCCAAATGCTTTTCAATATGCACATGCACATGTCGGATTCAAATACATGAAAAAGAACAAAAAAAAAAAGAAGAAAAAGAGATGTAATGCATGATATTTTTGTAATTGTAAGATTTACGTAGAGTCAAATATAAATATTCTTAATCGTGATTACGCGAAATTATTTTCATAAGGCAAACTCATGATACTCAAATCACAACAGACCAATTTTACCCCTACACCAAAATCCACCATCATCGAATGTGAGACTCTTCCCACATGGTCAATTAATGGTCATAATGATATGTTGGGTCTTCCTCCTAGGTGGTGATCAAACCAAGCGAAGGAAGACTTATCTGAATTGGTCCTTATTCCTTACAGTTCTCTGTACGAGAAATCCAGCCTCTTAACACTCTAGCATTTGAGATCCTATGATATATGTTCCAACTTTTGGACTATTGTAAGGGGTACCCACTTTAACGTACGGTCAAGATCTATTTGTCGGTGGGCCCTCAAATTGATGTGTACAGCATATGCATATAATTGAGACAACTGTTCTTGTTATATAGAATTTTTGTGTGCATGTGATTCACTTTGGCAGGCTAAGCTGTTTATTGATGATTGTCTGGAGAAATGCAAGGCCTTTGTGATCCACAATTAAATATATATATGAAATTGTGGGTATTATTTATATAAAAATGTAATATAATATTATGTGCACTGCTGGACTTGTTTGAGGCATCTCTATCACAAAACTTGAATGGTATTGGCTGAGACACTGGGATTTGTTTGGCATACCTCAAACCCCTAAATGCAACAAATCAATGCTTTGGTTTCTGAGCAAAAAAAAGAATCTTTAATTCTTCTTCAGTTCTTATTTTATTTGATTTTTGTGCAGTATATACTGATGAGGGGAATGTGAGGAGGAAGGTCTTTCAACTCTACCAAACAAAGCCTAAGCACCAAAACTTGGGTTTTCCGTTTCCTTGAAGCTCTGCTGTTTCCTTCATCTTTTATCACACAAGGTTGTGATCCTTACACTTCATGAGACTCTAACAGGTCAGAATATTCACTCTGAGCTTTCTATACGTACCTTTTTCTGTATTATGATAGAGATTGTGAAGAAATCAGAAAAAGAGTGAAGTTTGTTTGTTTGTCAGAACATGTTCAGTTTTGCTTGCTAGATCTTCTGTGATCTCTCTCTCTCTCCCTCTCTCTCTCTTGTTCATCAAATGCATTCTTTGTTTCTGAATCTCTGCCATCTTTCTAGTTTCGCAGCTAGGAAATTCTCGACATACCCAAGTGCATAAACTCCTCCTGGGAATTAAGGACTATAACAACATTAATTATCAACTATCTGGGTTTTTTTTCTCGGGTATCAAGTTGATCTGGCTAAGTTTAAATGGAGAAGCTTCTAAAGCCATACGATAAAGAGTACATGAAGATGGCAATGTTAAAGCATGAAGAAACCTTCAAAGAACAGGTACTTTAATTTTCAATAAATAGTATTCCTCATTATTATTATTATATGTCCTGTCCTATCCTGTCAATGGTTCCAACTACCAAGTTTTAGGCAATATTATGTATATATTGCAGGTGAACGAACTTCACCGCCTATATCAAATCCAGAAAATGTTAATGAGAAACATTGAAAGCAGCAAATCAAATGGACGAAATCGAATCGATATTCTTAATCATCATCATGGTATGCATCAAAAACCTCGGCGGCGGAATCTTAATTTGGAACATCCTGCTACTGAATATGCAGAATCAGATGAAGTTGATGTAATGTTAGAGATCGAAGACGAGAGCGAGATCGAGCTAACATTACGATTGGGCCCAACAAGTTACGACCGGAGGAGGAGGAGGAGGGGGGGGAGGAAAGACGAGACACCACCGATAACTTCCGATTCAGGACATAGCTTTTCTTCTTCTTCCTCGGGATCCAATTACAAATTCAACAGAACACCTCAAAGGACAGACACAACAAGAGAAGATCAGCAACGTCTCAGACAAGAAAGACTTAATCAGTCTCCTTGGATTTTCCAAGTTTTAAGTTTGAGTATGACTTAGAAATTACAAGGTGTTTCTTTATTAGTTCTTGTCGACTGATTCCATGATTGTTGTCTTTTGGATTTTCTTCTACTTTCTGATATGTATATTGTGTGATGGAGTCTTTATGAATATGAACACTCATAATATTTCTTTGACATATCTCCGTGGCCTGTTGAGCCTTTAAGTTGTTGACAACTCCTAAAGTTATGCTAAATTACTCAAATCTACTCGATTAATTTTTTATATAGAAAAACCTCACCATTCGAATCCGCAACGGTTTGGCTCGTTTTTTTGGCTTAGCTCATTTTTAAAACGAGTCAAACTTGAACAATTTTTTAAATTTTTTTAAAAAACGAGTCCGACAAACTTGGCTTAAACTCGACAGGCTTAGCTCATTATTTATAAATACTCAGATCTGACTCATTTTAGACTCGTCAGACTCAATTAATTTTGGGCTCGTCAAACTCGGCTCATTTTTTAAACGAGCCAAACTTGAATAATTTTTCAGATTTAGTTAAGAAAATAAGTTTTTTAGACTCGGTTTAAGCTCAAACTCGTAGCAGAAAGTATCACTTCAACGAACTCTTGCGAAAAATGCTTTCTCTAGTTGTGAGATTTAGAAAGACTTGGTGCAAAAAAAATCCTAGTCAACTGGTGCTGTATTATTTAGTATGGTGGTAATGGCTTATTTTAGAATTTTGAACCTAGTTTTCTACTTAGTCCATTGTATGTTTCATAACGAACTTTGCAATATCAATGGAAGCAGGTGGGGGTATCTAATCTAGAAAATTTTTTTAACTTCCTTAAATACTATCTATGACTATAATAGATAACTCAACTCTTTCTGCAATTCGAATTGGTAATCTAGTGGTAAGTTGTACCCGTTTAAAGTTATTTTTAACTCTCATATAATTATCAAGCAGAGTTCGATATATAGGAGTAACGCAGTTTACTGTTTGACTTTGATAGTATTACAGTGACGAATTATCATTCCATATTAGTAACTATAACTCAAATTAAATATTTCTCATTTAAATGACTCTCATGATAAAGCTCAAAGGATTATTACCTACAAATCGTACCTCCCCTTTTTCTAACCCAACAAAAAAAACCTTCTTCCTATTCTCTTCAATAATGTTCTTCATCTCTCTCCCGCCACTTGGAAACTCTCCCCCCCTCCCCCCCCCCCCTCAACATTGAGTAGAAGAGCCTCTAGGCTTGTCTGCCACCAGCTGAACACTAGATTCCCAATTGCAAATATATTATGGTCTTTTATAATTATTTAGTTGTGTAAGTTCTGTCCTGAAAAAATTATTTATTATGCCTCTATCTGGAAGCAGCATCTTCTCAAAGGTTTTGATGATGATTAGCTTCAAACATTTTGGCATCCACCACTGCAAACCTGTCTACTGTATTATGCTTTCCTTTCCTAGAGATTTCTATCCATGAGATTTTTTTTTTCCCTCAAATATCCATGAGAATTCAATAATTATAAAAGAGCCCCACACACTGATATTATATGATACTTTTTAGTTCTTGATGGTGCCAAACTGATGTGAGTGAACAAAGTACGTGGGACCAATGGTGAAGTTAGGTTGTCAACTTCGTAATGACAGTGATGAAGTGTTTCTTAGGGGGATAGGAGAATTTGCACAGTAAGAATATAGTGGTTCACTGGCTCTAGAGCTCGGCTAATCCACTTTCAAATAGAGGCTCTTGCTCCTTTTCTTCTCTATTAATTATTTGAATATAATACAAGACAATGCATAATCCGATTAGGGTTCTTCTTCTTTTTTTTCTCTCTCTCTCGATGAGACGTTACATAGTATTTACAAGGTTGTCCCCTATTCCGTGGGATTTTAGCCGAGATCTTTACCCATTATTCATGGGATCCTCCTTGATTTTATGAGAGAATCTTTGTTGGTTGAGAGTTTCATGCATGAGGCCCAATTTTCGCAGTCATCTAGCTGTTTATTGGTCGATTCAGCTATGATCTCCCAAAGGGGAGCTCCACCCTTGGTTCTCTGAGTTCCTCGTGTCTTTTCTGACCTCCTGACCTGACCTCACAGCTAGGACTTGTTTGAGGTATCATCAGTTGCCCCCCAGCCCCTGGTTCAAGCGGGCTTGGGCAGGGGTTGAGCTACTTTTTATACCGAGCAGGATCTGCACGTGGCTGACCTTGGCCTGCACGTGAGTTAGGCCTTTTTGACGATTTTTAGCAATCATGGCTTTCTTGTTTCTCGTGCACATTTCAGTCCACGTCTCTCATGCTTTAAATGCTCAAACGACTATCTGAACTGCCTTATTCCATTGTTCAACTTCTCTGCTGCTTCTCTCTTCTTGCGATTTCTTGGCTTTCTGGTTTGGAATTTTTGATTCCTCATTCAAAATTGAGTTCTGTGGGTTCGATTTGAAGATTCGCATTGCCCTCTTTCTTCCATTTTGCTCTAGGCTGCTGTTCATTACTCTTTCCCACCTAGGTACACCCTTTTGTCCCTTTTTCATCTTTCCTCATTCTGGATCCCTCGAATTCGAGGTGGCCATTGCATTTTTGGGCCATTCGGTTCTTTTACTTTTGGAATCGAAATTACTGCTTGTCTCCTCTCCCCCACTTCGTGGACTGGTCCTCTATCATGTGAATCCTTGCTGTTGGAAGCTACTGCGCTGACCCTAGGGTTATTAGGGAGTGCTTAATTAGTATTCATCCTCTCTACCGTTCTTTTAGTTTACCTTTCTCCTGTCTAGTCATGTCTACTCCTTCCAGAGTTACACACTCGTCTGCTTCTCTCTTGGGGGAAAGGTCTGCTGAAGAGGACACTAATTTAGGGGATGTAGGCGAGAAAATCGACAATTTTCCCGGTGTGGATGTTGTCAATGCCGAGAAAAATACTGAGAAATCATCCCATCGTCTTCTTTTGTGCCCCCTAATCCTAACAAAGGTAAGGGCAAGGTGAGTGGGATAGGAGTCTTTGACAGCGCAGTGAGCCGCCTTTAGGCATGCTCAACTCGTAGGACCTACCGGGTTTGACTCTTCTCATGTGAGAATTCTCAGTGCTCGTTACGGTTTTCCTCCTGGTGTCCAGATAAATACACCTCATACGTTACCCAAGTTCACAAGAGAGTATGTTTCTTTGTGGCCGCTTTTGAGAATGACTTCGCTTTCCTATGCATCCCTTCATCAAGAGTGTTTTACAACACTTCAATGTCTGCCCTGCGCAGCTCTCCCCTAATTTTTGAGGTGTACTTGTGGGTCTTCTTGTTTTATTCAAGATTCATGGACTCGGGGTCCCCGGCCTTTCCTTGTTTGTGGATCTTTTTAATGTCAAGCTCACCTCATCAGATGGTTTCTTATATATCTTCAAGCGAACCATGGCTAGGCAGATTATTACTTACCTCCCGAGCTCCCATAAGGGTTGGAAAAAATAATTCTTTTTCGTTGGGGGCACCAACTGGGAGTACAACCCTCTTGACAGGACTGATACTTTGGGTATCTCTAGAACTTGGTCCGCCCCTGATAACTTAGGTGAGCCTTGCTCGAACTGATTGAGCTCTGGTTTGGGAATCGTTGAGTCGCCTTTTTGACCTTTGCTCTCCTTGTGTTATTTTTCAGGCATTCGACCATAGCTCAGTGTTGAGGACGAGAGGGTAAAGCAAAAATTAGAGAAGTACAATCCAGAGAAGTACTCCGAGCTCATCAAGCCCTGGGTCTTAGTAACACAGGGATTCAGTCCTCTTGAGGTATCGATAGAAGCTCCGCTCCCTATCTTAGTTGTTAGGCCTGAAGACATAGAAGGTAACACTTTCTGAGTTGGTTCCCTTGTCTTCCCTTCTTTTTCCTCTCTCCTGTTTAACTTGCTCGGTCCAGATCTTCCAGGCTCCTCCATAATGAAATTTACCCCTGAGGAACTCCAGTCCAAAATTTACCTACTGAAGAAGAGTAGAAAAAGTGGCAAACGGAAGACCGATACCAGCTCTAGAAACAACCCCGTTGACAGAGCTAAAGTGCAGAAGTTGGGAGTGCCCTCTTCTTCTGCCTTGAGCAAGAGAGGACAGACTCCCTCATCTCAATCCCTGACCCCTTCTCCTCTTCAAGGGGCCTAGTTTGCCCCCCAAAAGACTTCCGAGCTAGGTCTGGCTTCCCCCACCTCTTCTGAGGTTGAGAGAGCATTGGGGCTGATTACTGGAATCAAGCCAGACTTTGCACCCCCCCCCCGAACTGCCTGAGCAACCATCTCAACTACCTCTCTAGAGTCCCAAAGTCGAAAGGAGGGAGGGCAAGAGATTGATGAAGATTCCTTCTTCGACAATGCTGAGTTGACTGCTGGGGTCATTTCATCCATTCTCTCTGAATCCAATATTCATAGGGCCTCTACCATGTCTCCTGAGGCCTCTTTCTGCTAAGCTCTCTAGGGAGCAGCCACTGTAAGTATTTTCACACTCGCTCTTAGTTCGGTGCGGTTACATTGTGCTGATCTATGTCTATTTTTTCTCTTCTTTTTTTTGTCCACAGATGGCTCTTCACTTGAAGAACTTGATGGGCAGGGTCCGATCTTCGGAGGACTTTGACAAAGTTTTGAAGACATACGAGTTTAAGGTCGCTGAGCTGACCTTTGACAATGAGAGCCTCAGAGCTTAGGTGCAAAAGCTCGAGGAGCAAATGGAGAAGCAGGCCTCTGACTACGAAGGTCTTCAAGCTGCTAAGGATAGGGCTGAGGAAAGAGAGAAGAAGGTCAGGGATGAGCTGAGGATGACCAGGGAAGAGCTGCTACTCAAAACCAATGCTTGGAGCAAAGCTAGCTAGGAAGCCTTTGATGCTCGGGGCTCCCTCGAGAGCCTTAGGAAGGAGTTTGTTATACTGGCTGAGGCGAACGAGAGCCTATGCGGTGAGCTCGAGTTACAAAAGACAACTGTCAAGGAGAGGGATAACATAATAGTCGAGCTGAAGGATGATGTCACCACCAAGTGGGCCTCAGGATGGCTAGCCTTTCAGCGCAAAGCGGAGAAGGCCTACCCAGACCTTAACTTTGACTTTGTCATCCCCAATGAGGAGGAGTCTGATTCAGAGGGCGATGACAGCACCTTGGCTCCTACTGCCTCTGATAGGGCTCTGGAAGG